AGCTCCCCGATGTGTTTTATTGTGTTCTGTAAGAACTATGGGCCATATCAAATTAGAGGGTATTATTACACAGTTATCTTTTAAATATACTCGTCCATCTGGTTTCATTTTACCTTTCAAATCTTCAATTAATTTTAAGTCTTCTTTTGTATAATTTGGCTTTTTGGTTCATGTATATAGTTTGGATTTTACCGTCTGGTATTAAAGACAATGCCTTCACCTCAGTTATTTCAGCTGCCCGCTTAGCCTTTGCCAATCAATTTCCAATTTCAAAATCGGTGTTCCCCTTTTGGTGTCCCTGACAATGCATGATAGCTACCTTTTCTGGTTGTTTCACAGCCTCTAACAATTTTAATATTTCTTCTTTCCAAATTGCTCCATGAGCATGTACCATGCCGAATGTATATTTAGAATCTGTCCAAATATTTATTTTCCTTCCTGCCGCTAGTTCCAGTGCTCGCATAAGAGCAATTGTCTCTGCTTTCTGGGTGGACGTCCCAGGGGGTAATGGTTTGGACTTGATTACCTGTTGAGTAGTTGTAACGGCGTACCCTGCCTTACGTTGTCCTTGTTTCACAAAGCTGCTTCCATCAGTATACCAAGATTCGTCAGCATCTTCTAAAAGTTCTTCCTTAAGATCGGGTCGATTAGAATACACAGTCTCCATTGTTTCTATACAATCATGGGTTATGGGTTGATCCAGAGTTCCACTAAGGAAAGAAGCTGGATTTACGATGTTAATGACCACAATTCCCACATCATCTTGTTCTACTAATATTGCTTGATATTTTAAAATCATCAATTCTTGTTTAAGTTGTTTAAAGACTTTTTGTGCTTCTCCAGTCCAGACTAACTTTGACTGGTTAATCTTTATCAATTCACATAGAGGCTTTACCAATCGTCCATAATTATAAATCCAAAGGCGACACCAACCTGTCATTCCTAAAAAGGTTTGTAGCTCCTTTACCATTTGAGGTTCTGGAGTCCGGCAAATGACTTCCTTATGTTCAGTTCCTAGTTCTCGTTGTCCTCCCGAAATTTCAAATCCCAGATAGGTCACACTTTGTTGAGCCAGCTGGACTTTCTGTCAAGAGACTTGATATCCATTTTAAACCCAGAAAATTAAGAAAACTTATAGTCCATTGAATACAGCTCCCTTTAGTCTCGGTAGCTATTAAGAGATCATCTACATATTGTAACAAAGCACCTTCAGTGTCTGGAGGCATCCATGTTTCGAGTTCCCTTGCTAATTGGTTTCCAAAAATAGTGGGGCTATTCTTGAATCCTTGAGGTAGCACTGTCCACGTAAGCTGTGTCTTTCTGCCTGAATTGGGATTTTCCCATTCAAAGGCAAATAGGTTTTGGCTTTCTGTGGCTAAGCCTAGGCAGAAGAAGGCATCTTTTAAATCCAGTACGGTAAACCAGACTTGACTATGCTTTAATTTAGTCAGCAAAGTATAAGGGTTTGCCACTACTGGATGTATATCCTCAGTGATTTTACTTATGGCCCTCAAATCCTGAACTAACCTATAGCTTTTTCATCTGCCTTTTTAATTGGCAATATGGGTGTATTGTATTCTGATTCACATTCAATCAATAATCCATACTGTAAAAATTTATCAATTATCTCTTTAATTCCTTTCCTATCTTCTATCCTCAAAGGATATTACTTAACCTTAACGGGTTTCTCTCCTGGCTTTAATTTAATAATTATTAAGGTCACATTTTTAGCTCTTCCAGGGACTTCGGTAGCCCAAACTCCTGGACATATTGATCTGTGATCTCTAAAGGTATTTCACTTTTAGGGTCAGTTTGTATTAGTGCCAAGCTTAACACATTTATTAGTTGTTCTTCTCCTATTCTTAATTTTATTTTCCCTTTTTCAACGACAATTTCTGCTCCTAATTGCTCTAATAAATCTCTACCTAAGGGTGCCCATGAGGAGTTAGGCGTATATAAAAATCTGTGTATGCCCCATTGTTTCCCTAACTTGTACTTCAAAGGTTCACAAAAATAAGCCTTTTCGGTTACACCTTGTCCTGGTTTCAGTTAGAATAGAGTTAATTTTCTTCCTAGTAGCTGGTAGAATGCTACGTTTTGGCTTAGGATGAGAAGAGTGTTGATAACACCCCAATGTTTTAATTGTTGCAGAGCAGTGCTTATACCAAGCCAAGGACATCTCAGCTTCTTGCTCTGTCCTGCCAACAGACAGGCTGGGGTTGCAGTAAGAGCTGGGAGGGGACAGACCCGGGACAGGTGACCCAAACTAGCCAAAGGGGTATTCCATCCCATCTGGGGTCATTCTAAACAATAGATAGGGGTGGCTAGCCGGGGGAGGGGGCCGGACTGCTCGGGGTTAGGCTGGGCATTGGTCAGCGGGTGGTGAGCAATTGCATTGTGCATCACTCGTTTGTACACATTATTAGTAGTGGTACTATTATCATCATTGTATTATTACTATTATTATTATTATTATTTTGTCTTATTAAACTGTCTTTATCTCAACTCACGGGCTTCACTTTCCATTTCTCTCCCCCGTCTCAGAGAGGGAGGGGGAGGGTGAGCGAACGGCTGCGTGGTGTTTAGCTGCCAGCCGGGTTAAACCACAACACACCTTTTACCCTAACATAATAATTCTGTGAAGGCATTAATGCTTGATTTAGAACTGAATACGTTGCCCCATATCAATAAGAAATTTCACTTCCATTCCTCCCCTAGCTTCATTATAATCAGTGGAGGATCCGCTAGGGTAGATTCCCCAGGTCCCCGTTATTCCTGTTGAAATCAGGGACCAATGATTACCCTAGAAAAAGGCTAGTCAATTTGTCCTCCGAAGCCAGGTCCAAACCGTTTTGTTTTATTTAATTATTTATTTTCATTACATTTCAGAGTTGGTCCAAAAATTCCACAGGGGTTTCTTTTAGACCTTGTTGGAAGCATATTCTCAATTCCCAATTCATCCAGTTTTAGTATTTACTTAGCCGTTCATAATTTTAGGGATGATTAGGGTCTCAGTGGGGTCGGTCAGGGGAATGCAGTTGTCCACAGTTCCCTGAGCGGTCCCATCGGTAATCTGAGCTCGCACATGAACTCAGGTTGTTTTAAGAGTTAACTGTTTTTCTGTTTCCATAACAACTCTCTCTCGGACCCATCATGATCCATTTGCCCCAAAGGGCTAACACCCATGATTTTAAGATCTCTGCCTAGAGCAGAGGCAGAACTATTAACATTCCTACATCCTCTTTCCCTGCTCATTCAACTTCAAACACCTTTAACACTTTCAACAACCCTTTTAACACTTCCTTTATCTTTCTCCAGCCTGTACTTCTCTAATGCCAACATCAAAGGCTCAGTCAGGGGCCAACTTAATTCCGTACCTTTTCCCACCAAGATGCTGAAACAACATCAGTATACAAGATTTCATCCTATTCTCCTTCTCAAAACCAACATTAACTGTAGCAAAACATTAGAGTTTAAAGTTCCATTTAGGGGCCACTTTTCTCCACATTCCAGCTTATAAAGCGGCCACCATTGATTACAATATTTTATCAATGTTTTCCTGTTCACACTTCCACCGGCAGATCCTCCAATATCCTTCCAGTGACTCAAAACACATCCTAACGCACTTTTCTTAGGAATTTCACTGCTTGTGTGCCCCCCCATTTTCCAGTTTACACTTTCAGAATACACGTGTTACTTACAAAAGCGTATCACAAAAACGTATCACTCACAAAATTACAGGCACGCAATATCTTTCAGTAGCGATGTCACAAAGCTACTATTACCAGCAATATTGCTAAAATCACAATAACAATAGTCAGAGTCAAATTCCACATGCGATAAGTCAGAAAACCGAACTGTGTAACACCATAGCGATATCTTTCTTATAACAATGCCACGAACCTACTATTACCACCAGAAAAATAGCCAAAATCACAGTAACAATAACCAGAGTTAAATACCACACTCCATGAGTCAGAAAACCGAAATAGACAACACAATTCCAGATGGACGTTAAAGCGAGCTCTTTCCTTAAGGTCCCCAAATATACTTATGGTGCTTACTACAAAGTATATACCAAACACTGCCTCGCAGAAGATCACCTTCCGACTTACAGACAGTTCCAGGTACAGATGGACCTCAAGGTCCCCAGATATACTTGTGGTACTAACCACGAAGTATATACCAAATACTGTCCTGCAGAAGATCACCTTCCGACTTACTGGACAGTCCCAGATGACCGGTCTACCAGAAAACCAAACCAGAATAACGAATATACTCACTTACAATGATGGGGTCCTTGTCTGCCTCCGCAGTGATCCGGTGAGTCGAGGAGTCCCTCCGGGAAATCCCGGGGGTACCCTAGGGAGTCCTGTCCCCAGCGGGTCCTGCGGACCGGCAGAGAGGTAGTCCCATCTGGGGTGCCAGATTGATTCAAAGATTGAAGCCGAAATTCCTTTAAGTGGTATATTCTTTATTGCAGCGCTGGATGCACGGGGGATCTCTCCACCTATCGTGCATACCCAGAGCGGAAAGCAGTCTTGAATTTATATAATCAATCTATCAATATTCTACAAGCACCTCTACATATGCATTACCTATCCCCGCCTTCCCCTGCTTCTCATGCTAATTAGCCTTTTGGCACCTTGCGCCTGCATAGAGCCTTCCAAGAATTGTGGGCAGGGGTCTTTGGGACGTGGGCAGGGGTCTCTGGGAGGAAGACCCCGAGTCTTCCTCACAGTGTACTTTTCACTTTTGGTCAGGAATCTGCTGAATTGGCACGTTTCTTAATTGCCAGAGCTGGTTGTTGCCAATTCTTCCGTTTGTTGTATCTTTATAATGAATTCCAATGTCCAGTTTTGATATTTATAGTCCTTACATTTGTTTCTCTGTCCGTTTGCCGCTTCCTTATCATGAGTTCCAGTGTCTTGTTTCGAGATATACAGTCCATGTCTGGGGATTGTCCTTGCCTCCCCAATACCTCCTTAATCACACTGCAGGTAAAAAGAAGTTTTTAAAAAACAAAACCAAACAAATAAAGAGTCTGCTTAAATATTTCCAGGCCTTACAAAAGGCTTAAGTATATCATTTACATTTGAGAGCAAGTGGGAGGTAAATCGTACAAGATCAAAACATTTAATTTCTCAAGCTAGCCTTCACTTAGATGAAGCACTCAGAGTACAGTAGCTCTGCAAAGACTACATAAGAGCAGGTCTTACAACGCTTTCTCATTTCACCTATCCAATACCTTGTTTGTCTTTCAAAACTCTGCAGTTGGCACTTCTACTTTCATACACTACCTTCTCAATAAAACTGGTTTTATAGCCACCAGTATTTACTTCCCGATTTTAATTCGGCAAAAATAACAGAAGTTACTCTGCTTAGTACTTTCTCCTTAGTATTCTATTCTATTGCAAAGAAACCATTTACCTATCCACTCTTAAACTTGTCTTCTTTCTTAGACTGCATTTCAAATAACAGGTTATTTTTTAGCACTCTTCTGCCTCATCATGCACACTTCATGAATTAGTCAAAAAAAACGTTCAAATTCCTGTTTATCACCTCCACATGATGTGAAATCAAAGAACAATCCATATGGCTTCACTGCCAGATCAACAAAGAACAAGTATCAAACTCTGTCTTACGCCACAGATAGATTTTCAGCTGTGAATTCACATACATTTCAGTTGCTGGTGGATGCAAGGGAAGATTCCTAAAATCGCTGTTTTTTAAGTACTGAGATAACCCAATAATGCAAAGTTTAGTTCTTAACGTGCAGTGAACTGATCACATAGTGAAGACTCATGATAATCTCAACTCACTGACAGTTCAGACGTCTTCTTACGGAACACTCTGATCTAAAAGAACAGGCGAAGCAGGACCTGAGTGCCATGCAGAGGATGTGTTTAGTTTCATGATCTTCCCAGAATCCTGATGGGTTTCATCCCAGTGCTTCTGAACACACTGGAAGAAGCCCCCACAAAGCAGCAGCTAAACTGCCTAAGCAATTCTAATAATGGAGCAGTATGCATGAAGTCAAATACTGGGAAGGGAAAAAAAGGCAGCAGGGAGATTTTTGAAAAAAAATAAAAAAATAAAAAAAATCCAGCTCTTGTCATCTAACTTCTACTTTTGTTTGGTTGAAATGCTACATTTTGGATTGTCAGTTACCTTTTCATTTGAGAAAGCAAGAACTACCACAGCTGGACACTGGATCTGGTACTACTCCAGAATTACCTCGCATGTTAGCACAAGGTCTTAGGGAACAAAGAGAGACAGTAAATAAATAAGATCAACTATGCAAAACACACACTGAGTTTATAAATAGGGTTTTGCCCTTAAAATTCCCAACTCTTGTGTCAGAAGCCAACCTTTTTTTCTTCAAAGTTCAGCCAAAGGCCTTTTTAAGTGGAAACTTTCAGCTTTAGCTTGTTTTCAAACACCCAGGGCAAAGCTGTATAATGGAAAGATTTCCCCCATTTTTTCAGGCAAGACATTTATTTTAATACCCAGCTATCCGAGGGCAACAAGTTGTAATTATTTCAGAATTTACAGTTTTCTTTCACGAGCAATTTTTAGCCTATAAAGAATGAACGGGGCATTTAATTTTGGTGCTGTAGATCAGTGCCACTTCAGCATAACTTTGTAAATAAATTATTATTATTATTATTGTTCCCCATCTATCAGTACTACGATTATAGTGAGGGTCAGGGCCCAGCAAATTAATGGAATTATTTTAATAAGAACCCACAGGCCTCCAATTCTGTTCTTTTTGTATCACTACACAGTCCACCTATTTTAGGTAAGGTGGTAAAGAGGTGAAAAAGCTGTGGTGTAAAAAAGTAAGTTCAGTCAAGTGAAAAACAAACAGTTTCAGTTTGAACTAAACAAAAAGCTTTTTTCTTCCAGCAGAGGGAGGATACTTCATCATGGATCAGCCCAGAAGTGCCTTCTTCATGATTTAAAACAAATCACTGCAGCAGCCTATGCAAGTACAGACAGCTTGCAATGCGTTGCTTCAGACTGCTGAGACAGGACATGGTAATTTGAGAAACAAACTGTCATCTGTTTGTTTTTTTTTTTAAAGGAGATTAAAGCATGCTTGCATTAGAATAACTGTTTTATTTACACAGAAGCTTACTTTTTCCACGGGAATCTGTGTAAGGAATATAGCTAGATAATTGCAAAAAGCTCAAAAGCAAAGCCTGAACGTATTTAAAGAATTAACCGATTAACTGATGGGTTAAGCCACATCCTTATACAGAATAAGAAATTTGCCTTTCCCAAATCATAGGATATATTTCCTGTGCTTACACTATTGTCAACCAAAGGGATTAAAATAATTATATTTAAAAAAAAAAAAAGCAGAACAAACAAAAACACCAAAAAACACAACACACACACACACACATTTAAATTTGATAAATTTGATCACACGCTTGCTCAGGTGAATGACTATACTAGAAGAAAAAAACACCTGCACACTAATCTTTCTGTATATACAGCGAGCAGCAAAGTTACAAAAAGCTAATGAAGTAGACATCATCTCAAGTGGTAACAACTAAACCTAAAAATGTCTCTACAGTAATACTACATAATACAGCGTTCAGACTTTTTTTTGTACCTGCAAGTAAGGTTAGGGTCGACATTCCTTGACAGCAGTAGTTCCACAGTCTTCAAGATGTTTTCCTCTGAAGCATGAGCAGCACACGCTGCCATCAGCACTGTGTACTTGTCTGTTTGGAAACTTACAGTTAGAAAATTGCATACACCAACACTATGCTAGTCCAAAAGTTCCTTTAAAAGCCTTTACATTTGCTAGAGTTGTTTATCAGGTGCTGATAAACTAAGATTTAAGAAACTTGTAAAGGTAAGAAACTTGTTTTTCCTCCACTAAAAGTCACTAGAATTATCAGGTAAGATGAAGGCATCTAAAAAGAGAAGACAAAGACAGGAGTGAATGAGACTAGTAGAGCATCTACCACTACTGAAGGTGAGGATGCTTGCTTAGGTAGTGAACAAAAAACCTGCAGGAGCTTAAATTTAGGTATCTGTTTCTAAAATCTTGGTCCACACCATGAGATTCAATCCCTGTTCCTCCCTACCTCGCCCCAAAACACAGCCAAATGAAGAAACATCTTACTGAAGTTAACTGCAACAGTTAAAAAAAAAAAAAAAGTGCATGCAACTATTTTTTAAAAAACACATAGCAGCATCACTTGTAGGGAGAACAGGGGTCCATACAAAGGACAGTTCAAGTAACAAGGCTTTATTAAAGGGATGAAGGAAAAGGAAAGCAGTTTACAAACCTAGACTACTATTGTGCAGTACTGGCAAGAAGAAGATGGCAAAAGGAGGTATGTTCCTTAGATCCACATCCACAATACGTAAAAAAATCATCATGAGGAACCGGTGTGTTTCTCTGCTCCAGCTCCAAAGGCAGCTGAGTGTTACGTGCCACCTTTACTCATAGATCAGAACTGCACACCACTGCTGTTCGCCCACAGAACAGGGGAGATCTTTCCTATTTTTCTCCTACAGGTATGTGGAAAACATCACACCTCAAGGACCTTAGCAAGCTCTTTGGCTTAGAAGACTGTCATTTGAACAACTGCCCACTTCGCTTATTGCACAAACTTACATACAAGCTCAAACATGCCTTCAGCAATTTAACAAGTATAATTTTAACTGTACATACTTCAGACCGATCCTTGAAGTGTTACAACATATTTTCTACCTTTCTTATCGAAATCTTAGGACTGCGTATGCACTAGTACCTTTATTCTTCAGAAGAGATCAGATATTTTTTGCATTTAAACTTGAGAAGTTTATATACTTCACCCCAATCTGCTCCACTTTCTTTGCTTCTCCCAACTTCTCGTCTTTGACTTCTCCAACTTACGACCTTAGATTTGTGTTTAAATTCACCTAGGTTTTTATAGACCAACCTGCAACTTTCAACCTTCTCATACAGAAGTTGTAGAACGCATAAATCAGTGTATTCAATGAAAAAGTAAGTTTCATAGAGTCACTTAAACTCCTTAACCGTAAGTAATTAGCTTTCCAGTAAATAATTTAATTCACTAACAGATTCTTGCTCTAAACATTTAAACTGGTCATCGATAATAACATGCACTGAAAGCTGGCTGGACTTTGAACAAAAGATAGCAATAAACATCATTGATCTGGAAATTACATTTAAGAAGAAACTGTAGTTATATTTATATTCCATAGTTAAAATAGTGATAAAGGGTGGGAAGTTGATTTCTGCTGGCCTACCTACAGGTCATACATAAGCAGAAGAAGAAACACCTCAGAACACTCAGGTTTCTCTTCTGCACAGAAAAAATGGTAAGAGACTGGTAAAAGATTAGTCTGTGGTCAGGCTAGCTGAAAAGAACACACACACAGAAGAGACAGTGAATTTACTCCTTCAAGATGCTACATTCTGATGCCACCACACAGCAAATGCTACCATTAGTTCCTCATTCTTCATGGCTATCAAAGTTCATTCCACTATTAGGGTAAAATTAAGCGAGCAGCTTACAAAGAAGAACTGAAACGTGACAAACAGTGATTAACAGCAGAGCTGTTGTTAGGATTATAAGGTTCTAACATTACTAGTACGGGATCACTCGCGTGATTGCCAGCTCGTACAGAACAACCAGGACTGATGACATTTAGTGCCACTTAGGGATGGCATAGCTGTACTGAACACATTTGGCTTGACCTGAATCAATCGCTTGCAAGACTGCTCCTGGCTGCACAATGCTCAGCTGTGCCCTAGCTACTATTTCGCTATACGAACCAGCAAGGAAATAAGCTGAGAAACCTGGTCCCAGCAAGGTGCCACTTTGGGCAAACACAACTGGTCACAGGGTGAAAAAATGCCATGCACGTTGGTTAACTGGATGGCTGAAAATGCTGCCCACAGAAGTTTCTGTCCAATTTTACAGCTCTCTACAACCATAAACACGGAACAAGCATGAACTGTAGCAGCCACATGCAAGTCCTCTGACACTGGCTAAGGACAGTAATTTGAAGGCTTACCTGTCCTTGGTGCAGGCAATCTACTCTTATCTCAGACTGATCAGCTCCTAAGAAGTTCAAGAAAATTTCAGAGTCCTGATTTGTACCACTGTCGTGGTTTAACCCGGCCGGCAGCTAAACACCACGCAGCCGTTCGCTCACCCTCCCCCCTCCCTCTCTGGGACGGGGGAGAGAAATGGAAAGTGAAGCCCGTGAGTTGAGATAAAGACAGTTTAATAAGACAGGAAAATAATAATAACAAAATAATAATAACAATAATAACAATAATAATAATATGGTGATAATAGGGAAATAATAATAATATGTACAAACAAGTGATGCACAATGCAATTGCTCACCACTCGCTGACCGATGCCCAGCCTAACCCCGAGCAGTCCGGCCCCCTTCCCCCGGCTAGCCACCCCTATATATTGTTTAGCATGACGTCAGATGGTATGGAATACCCCTTTGGCTAGTTTGGGTCACCTGTCCGGGGTCTGTCCCCTCCCAGCTCTTACTGCACCCCCAGCCTGCCCGTTGGCAGGACAGAGCAAAAGGCTGAGATGTCCTTGGCTTAGTATAAGCACTGCTCTGCAACAATTAAAGCATCGGGGTGTTATCAGCACTCTTCTCATCCTAAGCCAAAACACAGCATTCCACCAGCTACTAGGAAGAAAATTAATTCTGTGCTAACTGAAACCAGGACATCTATCCACCCCTTATTCCATACCATTTATGTCATGCTCAGGTTACACTCTTTTCCATACATTCTAATTAGTCACCTATAGTAATCATGGTAGTGATAACATACAGTGTAATATACTAATTAACATGGTACAATTCAGTTTATGGGCTATTCTCACCCAGTATTAAATCTCCTTGAGGTACACACCGGACCTCTCCGTTCTTTTGCATCACCCACCAAGTGTATCCAGGTCCCTGAGCGAAAACAATTCCACGAATAGGTTTGCCTTTTCCTGAGGCAGGAGTAGCCCAGACTGTTTTACCCAGCATATTTTTTACATGCACTACAGGAACCTTATCCCCATCTACAGTACGTAACAGGTTTGATTGGGCAGGTCCAGCTCGGTTGGTAGATCCCCTAGTATTGACTAACCACGTGGCCTTTGCCAAATGCGTATCCCAGTTTTTGAACGTCCCAGTGCCCATTGCTTTCAAGGTAGTCTTTAACAGGCCATTGTATCGTTCAACTTTCCCGGAGGCTGGTGCATGATAGGGGATGTGATACACCCATTCAATACCATGTTCTTTGGCCCAAGTGTCTATAAGGTTGTTTCGGAAGTGAGTCCCATTGTCTGATTCTATTCTTTCTGGGGTGCCATGTCGCCATAGGACTTGCTTTTCAAGGCCCAGGATGGTGTTCCGGGCGGTGGCATGAGGCACAGGATATGTTTCCAGCCATCCAGTGGTTGCTTCCACCATTGTAAGTACGTGGCGCTTGCCATTGCGAGTTTGAGGGAGTGTGATGTAATCAATCTGCCAGGCCTCTCCATATTTATATTTCAGCCATCGTCCTCCATACCAAAGAGGCTTTGACCGTTTGGCTTGCTTGATTGCAGCACATGTTTCACAGTCATGAATAACCTGTGCTATAGCGTCCATGGTCAAGTCCACCCCTCGATCACGAGCCCATCTGTATGTTGCGTCTCTACCTTGATGGCCTGAGGTGTCATGGGCCCATCGGGCTATAAATAATTCACCTTTATGCTGCCAATCCAGGTCCACCTGAGCTACTTCAATCTTAGCAGCCTGATCCACCTGCTGGTTGTTTTGATGTTCTTCAGTAGCCCGATTCTTGGGCACATGAGCATCTACGTGGCGTACTTTCACAGCCAGGTTCTCTACCCGAGCAGCAATATCTTGCCACAATGCAGCAGCCCAGATGGGTTTGCCCCTGCGCTGCCAGTTGTTTTGCTTCCATTGCTGTAACCATCCCCACAGGGCATTTGCTACCATCCATGAATCGGTGTAGAGATAGAGAACTGGCCATTTTTCTCGTTCAGCAATGTCTAAAGCCAGCTGAATGGCTTTCACTTCTGCAAACTGACTCGATTCACCTTCTCCCTCAGCAGCTTCTGCAACTCGTCGCGTAGGACTCCATACAGCAGCCTTCCATCTCCGATGCTTCCCCACAATACGACAGGACCCATCAGTGAACAGGGCATATTTCTTTTCATTCTCTGGCAACTGGTTGTACAGTGGGGCTTCTTCAGCACGACCCACCTCCTCCTCTGATGATATCCCAAAGTATTTGCCTTCTGGCCAGTCCATGATCACTTCCAATATTCCTGGGCGACTGGGGTTTCCTATTCGAGCCCGCTGAGTAATCAGTGCAACCCACTTGCTCCATGTAGCATCAGTTGCATGATGCGTAGAGGGGACCCTTCCCTTGAACATCCAGCCTAGTACTGGCAATCGGGGTGCTAGGAGGAGTTGCGCTTCAGTACCGACCACCTCCGAAGCAGATCGAACTCCTTCATATGCTGCCAATATCTCCTTTTCAGTTGGAGTATAGCGGGCCTCAGATCCTCTGTATCCCCGACTCCAAAACCCCAGGGGCCGACCTCGAGTTTCCCCAGGTTCTTTCTGCCAGAGGCTCCAGGTGGGGCCGTTCTCCCCGGCTGCAGTGTAGAGCACATTCTTTACATCTGGTCCTGTTCGAACTGGCCCAAGGGCTACTGCATGGACTATTTCCTGCTTGATTTGTTCAAAGGCTTGTCGTTGTTCAGGGCCCCACTCAAACTCATTCTTCTTACGGGTTACTTGGTAGAGTGGGTTTACAATCAGACTGTAATTTGGGATGTGCATTCTCCAAAACCCCACAACACCTAGGAAAGTCTGTGTTTCTTTTTTGTTAGTTGGTGGAGACATAGCTGTTATTTTGTTGATCACATCCATTGGGATTTGACGACGTCCATCTTGCCATTTTATTCCTAAAAACTGGATCTCTCGTGCAGGTCCTTTGACTTTATTTTGTTTTATGGCAAAACCGGCTTTCAGAAGGATTTGGACTATCTTCTTCCCTTTCTCGAAAACTTCCTCTGCTGTGTCACCCCACACAATAATGTCATCGATGTACTGCAGGTGTTCAGGAGCTTCCCCCTGCTCTAGCACAGACTGGATCAGTCCATGGCAAATGGTAGGGCTGTGTTTCCACCCCTGGGGCAGCCTATTCCAAGTATATTGGACTCCCCTCCAAGTGAAGGCAAATTGTGGCCTGCACTCTGCTGCTAGAGGGATGGAGAAAAATGCATTAGCGATATCAATTGTGGCGTACCACTTGGCTGCCTTCGATTCAAGTTCATACTGAAGTTCCAGCATGTCTGGCACTGCAGCACTCAGTGGTGGCGTGACTTCGTTCAGGCCGCGATAGTCCACTGTTAGTCTCCACTCGCCATTAGACTTTCGCACTGGCCATATGGGACTATTGAAAGGTGAATGGGTCTTGCTGATCACTCCTTGGCTCTCCAATTGACGAATTAGCTTATGGATGGGAATCAGGGAGTCTCGGTTAGTGCGATATTGCCGCCGGTGCACAGTTGTGGTAGCGATTGGCACTTGCTGTTCTTCGACCCTCAGCAACCCCACAACAGAGGGGTCCTCTGAGAGACCAGGCAAGGTAGATAATTGTTTAATGCCCTCTGTCTCTAAGGCAGCTATACCAAAAGCCCACCGGAACCCTTTTGGGTCCTTGCAATATCCTCTTCTAAGATAGTCTATGCCAAGGATACATGGAGCATCCGGGCCAGTCACAATGCGGTGCTTTTCCCACTCATTCCCAGTCAGACTCACTTCAGCCTCCAATACAGTCAACTGCTGAGATCCTCCTGTCACTCCACAAATATAGATGGGCTCTGGTCCTTTATAGCTCGATGGCATTATAGTACATTGTGCACCGGTGTCTACTAAAGCCTTATACTTCTGTGCGCGTGATGTGCCAGGCCATCGAATCCACACAGTCCAATAAACTCGATTGTCCCTTTCCTCCCCCTGGCTGGAGGCAGGGCCCCCCTAATCCTGGTCAGAATCTTCTTCGTTTCTGTGTTTGAAGGACTGTCTGCTGGAAGTTGGAGCAGCAAACTTTTCGGAGAATCCCTTTTTCCTGATTGTTTTCTTTTGCAACTCACGTACCCGTGCCTCTAGGGTCGCGGTAGATTTTCCATCCCATTTTCTCATGTCCTCTCCATGGTCTCGTAAGTAAAACCAGAGGGTGGCACGGGGTGAGTACCCACCATATCGTCTTCCTTGTGTGGGTGAACGCCTACCCCTGACAGCTGAGACACTGCTTTGTACAGGTGCGGAGGAGAATAATCTCTCTTCAAGTTGGTGAAACTTTTCAGAAAGTGTTTTCTCCCAGGTGTTCTCTTTTGGTCGGTGGACACTGGTTGGTTCAGGTGGGGAGGAAGATAGATTCTCTTTAAGTTGGTGGACCTCTTCAGAAAGTTTCTCCACAGCTGAGACGCAGGCCTGTAAGGAAGAGGAGAGACTTTCTTCGTACTGCCGGAGTTGTTTAGCCGCTTCATCTACTGTGGGTTCCTCATCCTCTTTCCAGGCCATTATTGCCAATGAGCTGGCATATGATGATGGTGCACTCCGTACAAACTTCCGCCACATGGGCGGAATAATAAGACAGGAAAATAATAATAACAAAATAATAATAACAATAATAACAATAATAATAATATGGTGATAATAGGGAAATAATAATAATATGTACAAACAAGTGATGCACAATGCAATTGCTCACCACTCGCTGACCGATGCCCAGCCTAACCCCGAGCAGTCCGGCCCCCTTCCCCCGGCTAGCCACCCCTATATATTGTTTAGCATGACGTCAGATGGTATGGAATACCCCTTTGGCTAGTTTGGGTCACCTGTCCGGGGTCTGTCCCCTCCCAGCTCTTACTGCACCCCCAGCCTGCCCGTTGGCAGGACAGAGCAAAAGGCTGAGATGTCCTTGGCTTAGTATAAGCACTGCTCTGCAACAATTAAAGCATCGGGGTGTTATCAGCACTCTTCTCATCCTAAGCCAAAACACAGCATTCCACCAGCTACTAGGAAGAAAATTAATTCTGTGCTAACTGAAACCAGGACAACCACCTGCACTGCAGTCTACTACTTCTATTACAAATACTGGCAGTCTACTGGAAAATAAGAGTACCATTTTTATGTACTTCATAGTAACACGTTTCGTCAGTTTCTTCTGTATTACAATGTCTTTTCTAGAGCTCGGCTAAGTTTTCCAACATAACAAAGCAGAAGGAAAACACTACAGTCGAAGCAGGAGAGAGTTATTAATGAGCTATAAAAACTGAGAGAGGAACTAGTAGTATTGATAAGTTCCATTAAACTCTTGCCAAAACCCCAGATTTGGCAACACACTGAAGAGTAATTTTCACTTAATATAAAACTTTTGCTCTAGTTTCATAGAAGTCTACAGTAGTTTCCCATCAACTGGACAGCTACTCCTGCAAGCACATTATTTCTTCAGTTCATGCCAGAGGAAGGGAATTACTCTTTGTCACCATCTTGCAGACCTGACATGTGACCTACTCTTCTGATTGTTAGGGTGTAGTCATTTAAAATATAACAATCAAAACCCATCATTAACCTAAAACCTAGTGCTTATTTATTACTTTGGTCTGAAACGAGATACACTGCGATCACACGAGCAGGTCAGCTGGCACGTTTGAAGGCTAACAACGAGGGACTGGAGAGCAGAAAGCAAACAACTGCAGCGGGAGAAGCATCAACCAAGGCCTTAAAGATGAATCTATTGCACATAACCAGCTGGAAAGCTGAACAAAGGAGTAACATTTTATAGGAAAAAAGCACTTCTGTTAGATTTAGAAGGGATGAAACAACATCGTCATCATGAACTTAAAAGCAGTGGGTACCACCCAAAATTCAGGATTCTAGCTGTTTTCTGCATTCATAACAGGGTCAAACAAAGGAAGTTTTAACTCTACAACTTCACCCTAGGATTCTTAAACAGGTATTTTCAAACACCGCTTTAAAAGATGTACCTGGGGATCAGGAGGTGCTATGGAAGACAGAATGAGAGGGAAAGAGAGAGCCAGAATAAGGATATCCATCAGCTGAATCCAGATGAGATCCAAGAATGCATATATATCTTACTTCAGAGATACTACTTTTGCTTTACAAATCTAGACTATATCCCAGTTCCATTGTGATCATTTCATTTTTTTCTCTCTGCATAGAAAGAGAATAAAGGTAGGACAGTGTCTGACACGGGGAGGTACTGGCCACTATTTTTATTCACATCTTACCTATTTCAAAGCATGCATTGGCACCTCTGTCCAGAAGGAGACGCACCACTGCAAAATCAGCCACACTGGCAGCACACATCAGGGGAGTCCATCCAAACTGAAAGCTAGGTTCTATGCTTACACCTGTCAAAATTTAAGACACTAAAATCTTTAAATTACATCCATAAATCTTTTATAAAAAAGACTTTATAAAATCTTATTCAAATATGTATTAGCATGAAGGTTACACAGTTTCCACGTAGTTCTAGGGAAAGGAAAGCCTCTTATACCATTGTTGTTTTTTAAATACATCCTTCTCTGGAATACCAGAAAACAACTTTTAGAACTGACCCCAAGGAAGCCCAGTACTCAATCCAAGTAGGTAAGCACAACAGAAAAGCATTTAAATAATAATAACAAAAAAAATAACTGCAGATTAATTTCAGAGAAGTGAACATAATCTGTTTTCTCCACTTTAGTGCTACAGCTTTTCTCAAACTAAACCCCCAAATTTTTATTCTTACCAAGCCAAATGGGCTGCTGTGCAAGCAACGTGTCTGTCATACTATTAAGACCATACTGACTAGGGTTTTCCGGCTTCACGGCTCCTTTTATTAGCTGCCTTCCAATGCAGCTAAGCTGCAGATACTAGTTTTGTGTTCAGTACTATGAAAATATTATCTCCAAAGAAATATAATTTACAGTCTCTTCCAACCTATTCCCATTCTATAATTCTAAGATAAGATAATGCAAGATTCAGTCACCACCACCAGCTGTGTTAGCCTGTAGAATAGTCACAGCCTCTTCTGTGGCTAATCATAAACGGGCCAGACGGCCCTTCCAAATTCACTAAACACGGAGTACCAGACCCAGCTACTCACGTGACAACTTTCAAATAAAAATCTTTATAGAGTTTTGCAGTAAGAGAAAACATCCCTTTCATCATCCGTCGTGTATTATTTCCTCCATAGCAGTTGGTTGCCGTCAGCCGATTCCATGTTAGTCTAACAGTGATACGGATTACTGAATGTATTTCTTTACAAGGGGAAGTTGTGGAAAACACTGTCCTAAGAAATTTGGGACAGTCAAGCTACACACAAACCTTTTCATGCAGAACGTGTATTCACCTTCCCTGCCTAGGCAGCTTGGCAAAGATCTGCTCATTGGAGCAACGTGAAGCCATTAAAGCTGCGAGTAGAAAGTCCCCGCTCTGCAATTGATTCTTCAGCTGCTCAGGATCAGGAGTTGTAAGCAATAAAGAGGAAGCATTCAACGAATGCCAGGTTTCGAAGTATTCTAACACCTGCAAGCCACAGAAGCTATGTTCAAATCCTTTCAGCAATGCATACACACTAGCTGCAATCCTTAATGCCACAGCATTCCTGCTTGCCGTTTACAAAACGCTTCGCTGAGGCCCACTGGGCACGGCGGCGGCAGCGCGGGAGGGGGCTCGGGGGGGGGGGGGGCAAATCCCAGCGGGGGGGGGCCGTGGTGGCACCCGGGGACAACGGGGCGGGGGGGGGGGCACCCCAGGGTGCTCTCAGCACCCGCTACGGCCTTCACGGGCGGCGCCGCCTTAACCACCGCTACCGGGTGCTGGGGGGGTGGGGGGGAGATAAAAGAAGGGGAGGGGGGCAGCACCCCGGGGTCCCCTCCCCCCGCTCCCTCAGTGTTCTCCCATCCCCCCCCCAATGTTCTTCCCCACCCCCCCACCCCCAACATCATCAGAGCTCCCCCCCCCGCCCAAAAAAAAAAAAAAAAAAAGAAGTGGGGAGATGCAGCCACCCCTCCCCACACACAAGACCCCTCTCCCCACCCCCCAAATTTGGGGACACACAGCCCTCCCCCATCAGCATCTTCCCCCCTCTCAGGGTCTCCCCCTCCCCCCCCAAAAAAAAAAAATTCAAGAAGAGCCCCCCACAATGAAGCCCCCTCCCTAATGCCCCCCCTGCAAATTGAGACACCCCCACCAAGAAACCCCCATTTATCCCTTCCTGACCCCCCCCCCTCAAAAAAAAAAAAAAAACAAACCCTGGGGGGGGCCCCAGTGACCCCCCCGAATAAAAATATTTGGGGGGGTCCTTAATTATTGGGACCCCATTTTTTTGGGGGGGGCCTAATTATTGGGGTCCCCATTTTGTGGGGGTCCCCTTTTTTTTTTTTGGGGGGGGTGGGGAGAGCAAAAATAAACCAGGAGCCAAAATAACATTGCACAGTTTTATTGGGGGGGGGGGGGGGGGCTGTAATTAAGGGGGGGGCTGTAAATATCGGGGGGGCTCTAAGGGGGGCTGAAATTAAGAGGGGGGTCTAATTAAGGGGGAAAACCCCTAATTTGAGGGGGGGGCATTAATTAAGTGTGGGGGGGCTTGTAATTAAAGGAGGGGCTGTCATTAAGGGGGGGTGTAATTAAGAGGGGGGACTCAATTAATTGTGGGGGGTTGTCATTAAAGGGGGGGCTCTGATTAGGAAGGGGGGGGTCTAATTAAGGGGGAAAGCCTTTAATTAGTGGGGGGGGATTAATTAATTGGGGGGGGGGGGGGGTAATTTTGGGCAATTTTGGGTGCCCCCCCCCCTGAAAAAAATTCCCTTTTGCCCCCCCCCCCCCCCCCCACACCTTACCTGGGCCTCCCCCTGCAGCAGCAGCTCCTGCACACCTTGTCCTGGGGGGGGGTGAATTTTTTTTTTGGGGGGGTGGGCGGATTTGGGGGAGTTGGGAGGGGTCCTGGGTGGGGGGGGGGGGTTCCAGGGGGTTTTGGGAGTATCTGGGGGGGGAATTTGGGGGGGAGAGGGTCTTGGAGAGGTGGGCCTGGGGAGGTCTTGGGGGTATCCGGGGGGGGATTTTGGAGGGGGGGGGTTGGGATTGGGGGTGATGGGGGGGAGTTTTTTTTGGGGGGTTCTGGGGGCGGCTTGGAGGGGAAGGGGGGGGTCTTCGGGGGGGTACCTGGGGGGGATTTTTGGAGGGGGGGGCAATGGGGGGGGAATTTGGGGATGTTGGAGGGGTTCTGGGGGGGATCTATGGGGTGGGGAGGGCTCGTGGGGAGGGGGAGGCTTGGGGATATCTGGGGATATCTGGGGGGAATTTTGGGGGGGGGGCTTGGGATTGGGGGCGATGGGGGATGGAGAATTTGTTTTTGGGGGGGGGCTTCAGACACTGGGGGGGGGCACATGGAAGGGGGTCTCATGCGGGGGAGGGGGGTGCAGGTGGGGGGGTTTACACGGTGGGGGGTCACGTGAGGGGGGGGGCACCCAGAGCTCCCCCAGGCGCAGGTCCCGGCCCCGCCACGTGCTGAAGCCCCACGAGGCCACGGCAAAGCCCCCCAGGACCCCCCCTGGGGGGCACAAAGCTGGGACCCCCCAGCCAAAAAAAAAACCTTGACCCCCGAAGGGTCAAAGGTCATGGGGGGGTCAGAGGTCACGGGGAGGGGGCACTCACCGAGTCCCTCGGCCGTGAGGATGACGGGGGGGGGGGGGGGGGGGGGGGGGGGCGGAGCCCCCAGCAGGTCCTGGAGCCCCCTCCCTTCTTGAGCCGGCCACGGGACCTCGCCAAGGGGGCGTGGCGAGGAAAGTGGCGGGAAAGGGAGCGGAGTCCGGGGCCGGGACCACCGTTGCCGTGGCAACGCGCGGCCTAGCGCAGGGCGTCAAAACCGTTAAAAGTGAGGGCAGGCCCTGGGGGGGGGGGGGAATTTGGGGAGGGTCTGGGGGAGCCGGGAGGGGGTCCTAAAGGTTTTGTCCTAAAGGTTTTGCCCCCCCCAGGCCCCGATGATTCCCCTGTGGGCCGTGGCGCTGGCGCGGTTCCTGACGCTGATGGCCCACCTGGTGGCCTGGGCAGGGTCGCATGGGCGAGGGTAAGGGATCAAACGCCCCCCCCCCAATAAAACAGCTCCCCCCCCAATAAGTACCCCCCCCCGCATGAAAATTAATGGGTTTTTATCCAGCTTTAATTAATCGCCCGCAGGGACACCCCCGTCCGCGCCTCGCTGCCCCTCGAATTCTCGGCGGAGGAGTACGGCGCGTGTCAACACCGAGTGAGTCAGGGCGGGACCCCCAAAATGGGGGCCTGACCCCCCCCCTCACAGACCCTGCCCCCCCCATGGGGACACTGAACCCCCCTCCATGGGGATCCAAACACCTCCATGGAGACTCCAACACCCCCACGTGGTCCCTGACCCCCCCCATAAAGATCCTGACCCCCCCATGGGGTTGCTGACCCCCCCCAAAAAGATCCTGACCCCCCCCTACAGGGATCCCAGCACCCCCAAAAGGATCCTGACCCCCCCCACGGAGACCCCAATGCCCTCAAAGGGATCCTGACCCCCCCCAAAAGGATTCTGACCCCCCCGACGAGGACCCCAACCCCCCCCATGGGGACCCTGACCCCCCCCCAAACACCCCAACCCCCCCCCATGGGGTCATCACTGCCCCCCCCAGGAGGACCCCAATACCCCCATAGGGACCCTGACCCCCCCCCCATAAGAATCCTGCCCCCCCAGCGGATTCTGACACCCCCCAAAAACCTCCGTGGCCCCCCCCAAAAACCTTCTGTGCCCCCCCAAAAAAAAACATTTCCCCCCCAAAACCCCATTTATCCTCCCCCAAAAAACCCTGCCCCCCCAAAAACAAGTAACCCTCCCCCAAAAAACCCTGTGCCCCCCCCGAATAAACCCCGTGACCACCCCAAAAAACCCATACCCCCCCCAAAAAAAAACCCACATACCTTCCCAAAACCCAGCACCCCCCCCAAAAAAAATAATGTGTGTTCCCCCCCCCCCAGGCTGCTGTGCGCCCTGGGGTTGGCTGCGGGGCTGCTGGCCATTGAATTTGGGGGTTTCTTCGCGGGGGTGTCCAGGTTCCCACCGCTTGCAGGGGATGTTCTGTATCCTGCACCCCCGGGGGGGGGCAAAAAATTGAGGGGGGGGCACCAAAAATAGGAGGGGGGGGCAAAAAACTGGGGGAGGGGCAAAAAAAATTGGGGGGGAGAGGAAAAAACGAGGGGGGTGGAGGAGTATGGGGGGGATTGGGGTGAATGGGGGGTTTTGGGGGGGGTGAAGTGGGGGGGCTAAAATATTGGGGGGGTAATATTGGGAGGGGGCTGGAAATATGGGGGGTCCTGGAATGTTTGGGGGGGGCTTGAAATATGGGGGGAGTCCTGAAATGGGGGAAGAGACAGGGGGGACCCTAAAATATGGAGGGGTAAAATAAGGGTGATCCTAAAATAGGGGGGGTGGAAAGGAAAATACGGTGGGGGGTCTAAATAAAGGGGGGCCATAAAAATATGGGGGGGGTGAAATGTTGGGGGGTGGGAGTTGAAAAATGGGGGGGGCACTGAAATATCGGGGGGACCCTAAAACTCGCGGGGGGGGGCATATTTTGGGGGGGGCAGATGGTGGGGATCCTAAATATGGGGGGGAACCCCAAAAGGCAGCTCAAAATGGGGGGATTGTCTCAAAAGTGGGGGGGTACCCCAAAATGGGGAGGTGTCGCAAAAGGAGGGGCTCCTAAAAAAAGGGGGGGCACCTAGAAAAGGGGGGGGGCACCTAAAAAAGGGGGGGGCACCCCAAATCCAATGGGCCCCAGCCTCTTGAAGCATGAGGACCCCAAAACAAGTGCGGGGAGGAATAAATGGGGCGGGGGTTGTCCCTAAAATCCCCGGGGGGGGGGGGTCGGGGGGGTCCCCCCGAGTTGTTCTCCTTGACCTCCCCAGCGCTGCGGTTCCACGCGGCAGCCTCCTTCACCCTGTATTATGCCCTGAGGAAGAGCTGGGAGGTGAGGGGCTTCTGGCTGCTCCTGGGGCTCTACAGGTGGGTGAAAACAAGCCGGGGGGGGGGCCCCTAAGATTGGGAACCCCCCAAAAAATCCCCCCCCCCCCCCAAATAAAATTAATAAAATTAACCCCTCTTTTTTCTCCCCTTTCCATCCAGCGTCCCCCCTGCCATCACCGAGCTGCTGCTGCTGGTGGTGGCCGCCCTGGGCCACAGGGGGAACCTGTGAGCGGGGGGGGCAAAAATGTGGGGGTCCTTAATTATTGGGACCCCATTTTTTTTTGGGGGGGGGCCAAATTATTGGGGTCCCCATTTTGTGGGGGTCCCCTTTTTTTTTTTGTGGGGGGGGAAGAGCAAAAATAAACCAGGAGCCAAAATAACATTGTACAGTTTTATCTGGTGGGGGGAATTAGGGGAGGGGGGGGGAACTGGGGGGAGAGGGTCTTGGAGAGGTGGGCCTGGGAGGGTCTTGGGGGTATCTGGGGGGGGAATTTGGAGGGGGGGGGTTGGGATGGGGGTGATGGGAGGGGAGTTTTTTTTG